AAGAAACCTGCCATTAGCTCGTGCCTCCTTCAACATGTCCAATTTATTCTTAAGGAGGCGTTTACTTGCTGGCAGCAGATGATTAACTATTTGTAACATTTGTTGGACATAAAAAAATTGGTAGGGAACATGTAGCCAAAATTCAATACATTTCTGTCCTTTCCTTTAAACCTGAAAAGCCAGAGGCAGGCATTGACAAATCATCATCTGAACTAACAAATGATTTGGGAAACCAGAATGCCAGCATTTCCTTTCTGGCTGACACCTAAGAGAAATTCAAGCAGTCTTCAAGAAGTCTAACAAACAATAGAATTGAAAACCCAGTCACTCCAAGGTTCTGATCTGGGGCCAGAACTCAAGCTGTTTCAACTCTGTGGGTAATGCTCCTGCTTTGGCTTCTTGCAGAGAGACCAAGATTCAGTGCTGGGACGTCTCTGAAGGCAGTGTAAATTCCATTGAGAAAAGAAGGGACAGGAAGAAAATTGCCTTGGCAATAACCATTTACCTCTTCCCCTGTTTAAAACAGGTAGGCAGTGTTGTATGTTGGGAAGAACTGTCAGACCAAATCAGATAACCAGTCCTCACACCGAGCCATCACTGTCCTGTTAAAGGCACAGGCACCCTTCCTAAGAAGGACTTCACTGTGTATAGTGCCGTGGCTCCTGGCAGTTGTTGGGATGCCTGAGAGATACCCGGCTCTGCTTCTGCCATGTGAATGTAACACACAGGGTTTGCTTATTACCTACCTTTCTTTGGGATTATTTACAAAACCATGTGGACAGTCAGGGACTTCCAGAGAGGCTCTGCTGACTTTAGTCAGTTTGGCCAACACATGGACAACATCCATTTGAAGACTCTTGCTGTGGAGTCCCTCTGAGGCTGACATTTCAGGCCTGAGTTTCCAGCTGGGTCACAGGACCTGCATTTGGCTAGCCAGTGAGTGGGGCCACAGAAGTGGGAATGCAGCCCCAGGGGCAATCCTACCACAGTCTTGCGACATAGGAATGAAGCAGAAGGGTATGGGCCTTGTGTGTGCTGTGTGTGCATGTGTGTGTGTGTTAGGGTGGATTGGACAAGGAAGGGAGAGGGATAAAGGAGAGGTAAATGATGAAGAACTTGGCGAAACACCGAGTTAGATTTATTCTGACAGTGTGCGGGCCCACAACTGCAACTTTATAAATCACTTTCTTAGAGAGGAATTTACTTCCTAAGCTTTGCACAACTTCATAAGCCTGGCATGTGTATGAGAACAGAACCTAGAAACCTGAGAAAGGAAAATGATGGCTGTACAAATATGGCTTGAAACCACAACTGGTGATTTTGTCAGCTCAGGGGCTCCTAGGACTGGGGCCCAACATTGCGGGGAGGGGAAACTGCTCAGGCTATCACACCCAGTATTTCCAAAAGGAATTTTAAACAGCAGAAGTTAAAAAAAAAGTATGGCTTTGAAGTCTGGACTAAAAAGGAAATTAAAGGAAATTTTGGATCAGGGGATGAGTCTGAGAGTGGAGCATCAATAGAAGATCTTTTGTTCAGGTGATCCTCTTCCAGAAATGGCATGTCCACATGAGCAGTGCAGACCTAGGTCCTCTCTATCCCTGACCCCATGTGCATGAATATCCAGTGCTCTAACACATTGGTGGGCACGCACCATGTGCTTGGGTATCATTGCTGATTTAATGAATGAAAAATCAAATCCTGGTAGAACTGGAATTACTCTGGTCTTCTGAGTCAATGTGAAATGCTCCTTCCCGTATGAACTCTTTCTCAGTGTTTTTTTTTTTTTTGTATTTTTCTTATGACACATACCTGGTATTGTAGTTATTTTGCGTTATATGTAGCTTTCCCTGAGCCACAGCAATTGTGACCCTTTAGCCAGTGGAACAGTTAGCCCAGTACCTCTTCTGTGTTAGGCCCAGGTCAATGTTAAATATACTTGAGTTTATACACAAATGACCATTTGTTAGGCAGTGATGTTTCTTTATCTAGGAAGAGACTTTGAAACTCTTGCCTGTGTGATGTTCTAAGATCTATAGTTGTGTCTGACTAATTAACTGGAAGCCACATTGCTAGGGAGGTTAAAATGAGTTTCAGCTACATAATGAGAATGGCTCACTAACCCCAATGAGAATGACAGGCCTATGGCTCACAGGTGGCTACTTTGTGCCACTCACCAGCTCAGCTCAGGCAACATCTTCCTGTTACCTGGTATGCCACTTCTTGGATGGCTAGGTGCATTGTGGGGACTCTCACCTTCCACACAGCATTGGGACAGCAGACGCAGAGCTGACTTGGTCAGTCCCTCCATGTGGGTCCTGTGCAGATGCTGAGTGTCCTTCAGGAGATCTACATAGCCTTGCTGCCTTGGGTCTCCCTGTGTGCAATGCCCTTTCCCAAAGGTGTACATGGGAAGGAGGCTGCACAAGGACCAAGAAAACAGTGGGTCTAGTTTGTGACATTCTCAAGGGCAAGGCTGCACCTTGGCCGCTTCCAGTTGTTGAGAACCAAGTACTTTATATTCACCAACTCTTATCCTTTTCAACTATGCAAGGTTAAGCATTGATTTCCATATCACCTTTCATATTATCTTTGTATACTCACTACTTAGCACAATGCATGTTGTATTGTAGGGAATTACTCATTGAGCATTGATTTTAACTCAATTTTATATATCTTTATGTTCTCAAATCTTTCAGCTTTTTATTTTTATGGGCATAAGGAAACACTCTGTTCTCTTGTGGGGCAGAGATAAGTCTAATGCTGATCATAATATTGAAAATGATAATTAATTACAAGAATGTTGATGGTAATACATTTTCTTTGTGTTATTTGCTCATAACATAAAGGAAAATACAAATATCAGGGAGGGACAGGCCTCCAGATGTCACATTTGGAGCTTTTTGCTTTCACTGTTCCATTTCTTTACTATCTCCTGAAACGCTGCAAGAAAGAGTTGTTTCATATGTGGCTGGCGATGACCAGTTTCACTCAGCTGGTCATGGACTCCATCTAACAAGAGGCCACACATGCCCCAGAGTCCCCTCCACATCCTCAAGCAGAGCTTAATTTGTAGAGGTCTTGAGGGAAAGTAAATCTACCAATATTGTGTTTCAGTTTAAGGTGAAATTTGTTTTCCACTTCATTAACTTGGGGTCGGAAGTTATGCCCGAGACAGTTGTCCCAGGGCTTTGTTGGCACTTCAGAGTGTGTACTAAACACACTGAAATAATCGGAGGTAACTTATGATAGGGGTGGGATAGAGAGAAGGCCTTAATGAGAGGGCTTTTAGAGGCTCACAACTTCTTTGTCCTTGAGTAAAAATTGTATTTTAATCTTTCTCCAGCCACATCCTGCCATCTGGCCTTGTAGCAAAATCAAAAGAGAATTGTGCCTGAAGACTAAAGGCAGAACATGACCTATGTGTTAGAGTAAATGGATAACTTCCTCCAAAGTCCTCATTAGTCAAGAGACACTGTTGTGTTGCCATGGGCAGCAGCACTTGATAAACAGCCCTCTTGCATTTTCTTCCCATCTGCAGCTTCAAAAGAATTCATAAATTAGAATTTCATACACATTCTTACTTCTTTATTGCCAAATGCACTGCCTACTTTGCAATCCCCAGGGCCAACAGAATGTGAGTATTCAATAAATCATATCAGTTTTTCAGCACCAGTTTTCTCATTTCTATAATAACAGTGTTGAACTATGTTACCTTCAATGTTCCTTTCAGGACAAAATCTAGACTATTTTAGGGAATCCTGAGATCCACTGCACACCTTCCAAAGCTCAAAGTGTCCGTACTGAGGTAGGTGACACAGAGTCTCCCATATTCTACCCAGATAGGCAAAGGCACCACAAACACATTGAAAGCCAGTGGTGTTTGTATCTGGAATTTCCATTTTAGAAAGCACCAGCATGAGGCTGCACACGTCTCCCATGTGTTCTTTAAAGGTCCTTGCTAGCTGCCTCCTGCCATGTGGAGCCCCAGCAAGCATCAGCAGAGTCTGATAGCCAGGAGATGACCAGCTCTGCATGGCATTATCTGGCACCAACACATGGAGTACCTCAGTTGGATGCCTTGTGTCTCAGTTTCATCTGGAAATGGGGAAGGAGGATGCTTTTTGTGACATTTTCTCTTGCCCAAGTAATCACTGCATATAGGTTCTCCAGTTCCTGCTCCTTACACTTGTCTGTTCCTTGTCTCTTATTTACATTCCTCCCTTACATGGTGATTACAGTTTCTTTTTTTTCCTTCCACTTTTTAAAAAAATTATTTATTTATTGTTAGAGAGAGGGGAAGGGAGAGAGGGAGAGAAACATCAATCAGTTGCCTCTTACGTGCTCCCAACTAGGGACCCAGCCCAAAACCCAGGCACTGCCCTAACAGGGAACCGAACCAGCAATCCTTCAGTTCACAGGCTGGCACACAATCCACTGAGCCACACCAGCCAGGGCCATTATGCATATTTATATTGATGACTTATATCAATATACCTAATGAGAGCAAGTTTTAAGGCCAAAGACATTACAGCTCATGAGCAACTTGCCCATAGCAACTGTAGCCTGCAAATGTATCCTAGTCTTCCTTTTTAGTAGCAAACCTTGGTGGCTCAAGAGGACATCCCATGTGGATATCCTGTCCCCAGTCTACTGAAGCACAGTAGAAAGAACACCTAAAAAGAATACAACCTCTTTATTTCTTCTTGAGACATAAATGTTCGTTCACTTTCGATGATAAGGATGAGTCAAGTACTAAAGATAATAGCTAGCTCTTCCATTTGTTCCAATGAATTTCAATGGAGGAAGAGGAAATAGGATCGGGAGTGTTTTAGTCTATTAATATTCGGCTTATTGAATCTATAGCTTGGTACTTCTTGAGCAGGATTACCCCAACAAGGCTAGATATGATAAAAGTAGAAGACGAAGATGGCAAGATGATGAATTCAACATGAATATACAGTTTTGTCCAATGTCCCCACATGCTCTCTAGAATTCAATTATTCGGCCAGAGCTGGCCCATCTTTGCTCCACTGTGCCTCAGATTCTGCTTTGCTGCTTTTGAGGGAGAACAGGTAGGTTCAGATTGTCTGGGAGCTGGTAGAGGTCATTCTGTTGGCAGCTTGCTGGGCTAACCAGTGCTTATATCTTTTGGTCTTGGGCCTCTCAAAGTTCACCACAGACATGGGTACCCTTACAGTGTCAAGGCCATTTACCGTCACCTCACACCAATACTCGCCCCACCGTGTGATGGGCTCTTCTGGTAACTTTAATGCATGTGGGGCTACCACAACACCCAGATTTTTGAGAAAGTGGCGGGCAACTATTTCAGGGTTTAGCTCCCATTTGACATTGTTCTTCATCCCCACCTCCAGGTGACAGCTTCTCAGAAATTTCACTGTCGCCTCACCTGCTTTAGTCTGGATCTTTTCTAATTTTCCTTCTTGTCTTTGCAATTTCTCTTCTTCAAATAACTTCTTGTTTTCAGGAGATGCATATACCGCCAGTCCTTGAGGAAGCAGTTGATTACGGCCCACAGATTTCTTCACCGAAACCACGTCATCCCGGACTCCAAGCTCCTCTACTGACTGCATGAGGATGAGCTCTAGGTTCTCATTGGGCCGGTGTTTCGTGTCCTCTACCAGCTTGTAGACGCGGTGTCGCCGGTGCAAGCGCGGTTTCTGTCCCTCCCTGGCCAGCGGCACCTTCCACCAGCGCTCCATGATAACCGTGCTCCGACAGTGAGAGAGGCTGAAGTTGCGCTCTGGGCCGGGGGTCCTTCAAGTGGCAGCCGCAGCAGCACCCGGATTCCTCCTTGCACCAGCCGCTCAGCGGCCGCCCGCAGCAGAGCCCGGCCCGGGACCAGCATGGGAGCCGCCATGTTCCGGAGCACCTACAGTTTCTGATAATTACAATTTTATGCATTTTGTTACATCTGACTTTCCAAGGAATGTTAAATAGATAAACAGTTTTGGAAAAGTGTCAAGGGGAGTGAACAAAGCTCTTTTTTGATGCATACAAAAACTGTCTTTTGCCCGTGTTGTTCTCATGTCTATCCCTCCTATACATTCATGCATCCACCCAAGCAGGCATGCATTCTTCCATCTAACCATTTATCAATCCATTCACCTATTCATCCATCCATCCACCCACCCACCCACTTATATTTTGGGAGTTGTCTTATTCTACCTTACATATTTAGTTATTCTTTTATGTACAATATCTATCTATCTATCTGTCATCTATCCATCCATCCTTTGTATTATAGCTTGATTGACTTGGAATTGCAATCTTGACTACTTGCAGGTTAATGATGTAGTGATCTGTCTGAACACATCACTATGAGAATGTGCATGGTGCCTTTGTGTTTAGCTAAAGAAAGTGTGATGTTTGTTTTGTTTTGATGCTGGGGCGGAGAGTGAGGATAAGAGATAACAGTAAAGAAGGGCATAATTTCAGTTGCATCTGTTCTCTGGGCTAGGCTGGGCTGGCTTATTTATGGAGGGTGAATTTGGGGCTAGAAGAGAAGGGGAAAAGAGCTAAAGAAGCTCTTTTCAGGGAGGATTTTTTGATATGAGGGGCACAGGGCTGTTGTGACAATGGGTCTCCCATATCTGTCTGATCTCTATACTCCTCCGGCACCCTAAGGATTGGTGACTTTGAGTATTAGGGGACGGCGTTTGGACAAGGGTATCTATGTGCTCTCTTGGGCACAGTAAGCAGAGCTGTCCCTATTTTCAGGGTCAGGGGCACTGACATGAAGAACGTGAGAGGAGAGGAAGAAAACAGTGGGTGCAGCTGAAAGTCTGGCTTGTGAGCAGGATGTTTTCTTAGGATAGTCTTAGGAACATTCAGTGTGGGCACACACTGACCCTCCCTAGTCAGGTGATGGTGCTGCTGAAGGCTGTGTACACAGAGGATGGGTAGTGGGCTGGAGGGGCCTTTTCTTCACGTACTGCAGATGTTGGCCCTGCTTCCTTAGCTAGAACCTAGGGCTCAGGAAGTCAGAGGTCATCCCTGAGGTGCCTCTGTCCTTTGTAGACTTCACAGTGCTGCATATACATGTCAGGCTCTCAAAAATGATGTATCAGTTGATTTCTGTCTGGTTTAAGGAAGTGCTGCTACAGAGAACTGGGCTTGAAACTTGTTTTTTATTGCTTATTATTGCTCGTTATCACACTTAAATCCAGCCTCATATTTTTAGCTGCCACACCCTTCTATACACTTTCCTCTCAGCTGAAATTCCCTTCCCCAATCCCCACAATCTCAACATGTCCTACCAACCCATAGGGCTCTGCTCATGGAGGCAACGCCCATCTCAGTCTTCTCCTTTGTCACATTCTTTGAAATGTCTAGAAAACTGTGTCTCGGCCTCTCCTAGGACACTTCATTTCTCTACCTTTGATTAAAGCCCTTTTTGCATAGGGCTCCTCTCTCTCCAGTCTGTGTTCTGCTGGTCAGCAGGAACTGTTGTGTGGTACTCTGCACACACTAGACACCAAACCGAAGAGGGCAATGCCTCTCCAGCAAGTCTCTCCTATACAGGAATGACTTAAAGAGGCAAGGATGGCTTATTTCTGTCCACTCAAGGTAGCCCTTCACTTAAGATTTAAAATTCTTCTCTATGCTGTTCAACAGAAACCCCTGGGACAAGCATGTTCCTTTTGACATGATATATTAAAGTCCTTCAGCTGGTTTTAAGCTAGCTTTAGGCCCACCCAGAACTCTCACCTCAAGCCCTTTCTTTTAAAAGAACAAACCTAGCATTCTGGGTACATATGTCATGAATGGAAAGAGCTACAAAGGAAAACCAAAAAAGCAACAGGCTCAATTATCAGCATCAAAACTGCTGAGCATTTTAAAAAGCATCTCAATGAAAGTAATTATATCTCTAGCATCATACTGCCCATGTCTGGTGCTTTAGGTTGTAAAGCTCATGCTGACATTATTTCCTTCCCTTGTTTATATAGTTGGTCTCTGAAGGCAGGGAGAATTTATCCCAACTAATTTGTATGCTATAAATCTAGCTCTTGAAGCCTGTAGTCTTGCCTGCATGGAGTGGGCACACACTGACCCTCCCTGGCCAGGTACACAGTGTTCTCATCCTGAAGGGAGTCTCCTTGGCACAATGTTTCCCAAATTCCACTTTACCAACATGACAGAAATTTCACAGTACCCAGGACTTGTGTTGCCAGTGTGCACACACTGAGAGTTTGACTCTACATTGTACCAAGGCCAAAATCCAATACAGAGCTTTATGGTTAGTAAAATGTTTTCACACCCACAGTCTATTTGGTTCTCAGAATAATCTATGAATTTTCCAGGGCAATTATCAAATGCAATATAATTAGAAGTCTTTGGTGGCGAGCAACAGGAACCAATTTTGGTTAATTTCAGCATGAAGTAAATTTATGGGGAGCATAGAGAAGTATCACATATTTGAAGGAACAGCTAAAGAACCAGGTGGAGATGAATTGGTTCACAGTGTCCATTTTTGGGGCCCTTATGCTTAGGAGTTGAGGGGTTGGGAGAGGGTCTAACAGGCCCATCCTGGGTCAGCAACCCACCTTGCTTTCCCTAACAGAGTCCTGCCAATATGGTCACTGGAGAGGGCTCAGTGGGGCCAGAGTGGAGGGAGGCTATTCCCCAAAATGAATTTGGGATGCTCTTACTAAAGAAGAGTTATGGAGGTTGGCGGGTCAAAAACAATAGTGTGTACCACTATCCCTATTTCACAGATGAGGAAATCTGGTGCCAAGAAGTTCAGTGATTTATCCTAAAAACCACAGAAGTGAAGCCAGGGCTATAATGCAAGCTGTCCAGCTGAAGTGCAATGAGCTCCTCCCACCCCATTTCTGATTTTATTGTGGAAACAATATGAGAACAGCAAAGACCACTTTGAGAATAATCACCTCTCATTCCATCAGGAAAACTGTTGCCTGTTTCCTCTCAGATTTGTCCTCTGTGCGTTTTCTTTGCCACACAGCTTCAATTCCCATTCCCTTGTACCCTTCCTGCTCAATCGTCTGTGAGGCTCCTTGGACTGGTGCATTCTGCTGACTTTGGTTTTCATGGTGTAAATAGCAAACCAATGACAGGATATGGCAGTTTTGTTTGGGGTCAGTGGGTCCCTGGTAAGTTATAAAACTGGAAATTTACAAGAACAAAGGCAGCCTTTTCTCAAGATCTAGAATTCCTTTTGATGATGCACAACAGAAGCCAATGGGACAAGCACTTCTGAAACTATGACTTGAAGTCAACACTAGGCTTTTGTTGAGGTGGATGGATGGGTTGCTGTGTGATAGAAGCTTTAGAGTACCCTCTTGGTTAACAGGCTCTTCTTTGATGGATGTGAAAATGCCATAGCTCAATACTGAGTGCCTTTCAGGTTTCCCTTTAATTTTAAGGTTCCAGAGTAGGAGGAGCAGATGGATATAGTGAGACGCAGACTTGAAGTCATGTAATAAATCAGTCAAGAGCCCAGAGAACCAAATCCACTTTTTCCTGGTTCCAAAGGCACTGGCTTAGATCAGAACCATTGTATTGCAGGTGCTGTGTCCTAGGTGAGTTTAGTCAGTGTGGGCCCCTCTATGAGCACATTCCTCTCCTGGGTGGTGAACAAGAGAGTAGCAGTGACTGACAACTAGCAGATGGACCTGTGAGGGGCTGTGAGTGTGTGGGGCTATGGAAGCCTTGATGGCTGGAATCTGGGGCACACAGAAACTAGTATGTTTAAACTTCCAGCAGTTTTTCTGTTTTTCTAGATGGAAGACTGAATTAATTTTTGCAATTGCATCTTTGAGGGAAAAAGACTTCAAAAGTTCTTTTGGTTCTGTCCTATAGTTCCTCAGAAGGTACCCTGCTGCCATATGGAGGCAAAGAACACTTTCCTGGTGTTCTATTCATCTCTTGTCTGTGACCAAGCTAAGCCTTGTCAGATCTGGGCCAGAACCAGGTGCATTACTGCCCTACACACAGACAACTTTGTCTCCCACACACAGTGGGTAAGGGTCTGTGCCCTTGAGTTAAATGTGGTAACAGGGCACATAGAGTTGTGTGATACTCTGCCAGCTGGCATCTCAGTGGTATGGGCCCTGAGGGAGGTCTTGGCTGACCCCCTTCTTTCTTTCTTGCCCAGTGTGGGGCAAGGGGGAAGATAGATCTGGTGAGAGTGGCTTTGTTGGCTCTTGGCTTGGGACTTCAAGTGAACAGCTTGGATTTTGCCCAATAGTTGGTAAGTGGTTATTCTGATTTGTCAATAATCTGATATTATTAGAGCCTTATTAAGGGAAGAAAAATGTGCATTTATGACCTTGTTCTCTAAAAAGACCTTTTGAACTTACCAGTCTTGTAGCATAGGCTGACAGCATTGCATTTTACATGTTATTACACTGACCGTAAAGCTGGTTTAGGACAGGGTACATCTTTCCCCTCTTCTTGATCTTTGGGGAAGCAGAGACCCGGTGCTCTGGGGAGAGTCACTATGATAAAAGCACTTCTGAATGGGTTAGTGATTGGATTAACCATGTAGTTCATCTCTGTCTTTGAAACACTCAAAGAAAGAAAAGAACAAGTTGATAATGATCAGTTCAGGACACATCTAGTGATAACTGGACAGTCCGTCCCAGGTAAGCTGACATGTCTGGAAGACACGGACTCTGGGCCCAAGGACTCTATATATAGTTGTATGTGGATTTTACTTTCAAGATTTTTCTTTTCCATTTTGTAATTCTTCTTTGTTATTACCAAGTGTTCATTACATTTTTGTAGAAGTTACAGCCGGATCTTAGAGTAGGGGAAACTGAAAGAGGACCTTGCATCTGTGCTGAGGGGAGGGGTACGGAAAGTGTGGTGTAGCTGGAAGAGTTCTGTGGTATGTCA